ACAAAATGCGACCAGAGCTCAATGACCAACAAGGAAACGTTTTTGTACATACCCAGCTGGTTGGTTTGTACCTTCCATAGTAATTATTGGCTTCAAGTCCTTCTTGCGCTTCTTAGCCGCAAGACTGCTATTGTTGCTGTTGCTCCCGTTGGTGTTGGCATTTGATGCCTTTTGGGCGTCGGGGGATTGTGTGCCGTTCATTGTGGTGTATTCGTCAAATCTGCCTGTGCGCGACAGTGCAGGATCTGTATTCTAGGGACAAGTTGAGATGGATCTGGCGTCTATGTCGCCAGGTTGTCAATGAACAGGGTCGTGAAATCGTCAACGGGTTTATCGTAATGTCGGATGCGACAGCTTTGGGCGTCGGTAAGAAATGATGTCGAGATGAAGTGGGGGAAGAGGGGCGCTTGTAAGTGCTTGCTCGATGGACGTGGGGTTATTTTCTGTTCGCTTTCTTTCGAAGAAATGCTTTCTCAAGAATTATCAAAATCGCTCAGAGAGATAAGTTGAGGGTGTCGGACAGAGTCAGGAGAAGAATATATCGGGGAGACGAGTACGGTAGGATAATTGCGGTCGTGGTGTGGCAGTGGCGCCAAGGTAGATCTGTTGCAAGTCGAACCAAAAGATGTTGCGCAGTAATAACCTAGTGGCGGCGCAATCTGAGGTGACCAGGATCAATCAAGCACAGTGAGTGATTGTGCTTGGTGTATTGGTCCCAGTGTAAGCTAAAGCTAATACGCTGTAATATGGATACTTGAATGTAATCTGGTTGTCCGAGTAATGACTTTTGCGACGGATTGTCTAGATGTGTTGATGAATACAAACTTGCTTGGAGAAGAAACGGAGGAGAAGGAAGAAGAAGATTATCAGTCGGAGACGAGGAGGGGCAGCTAGAGGAAGCCAGCCAGCCCAGGGTCCGGGTTGGTAAGGAAGGTTGGTGAGGTTCTTGCAGCCAACAGATTCCGCAATCATTTATTTGTAAGGCCAGGTCAGGTCAGGTCAGGTATCTACAAGTGCAAGTGCAGGCTACCTACTAGGTATCTTAGTATCCTCAAATTTTGTGATCTAATCTTTAGCGTAACGAAAATACACCGAAAGCGCATACTTTTGCATCGACAAAAGCAGATAGAGATATGTTTTAGAGTTAATCCGGGTTGGAGATTCATCCGAAAATACCAGATTCAGATGAAGAAAAGACAAGTCATGACTGAGACCTCAACTAAGACGACGATACTCAAAAGCAGGCACTCTACGAGATGCATCTATATGTGGATATCGTTCACCACGACCCTGAAGCAGCCTAACGTCTCACTGACAGGATTATGACGACGCACGAGAGGAAGCTTCTGGTTAGCATTGAATCCCACAAGAGAAACTTGATCTCTAGTCTTGTAACCCCTGTGCCTGAAATCGAAAGCTTTGGTTGAGCTAGTGGCATTTGGAGAAGGTAAGGAAGGTATCGGTTATCAAAAAGATACGCGCTAAATCGACACTCTCACTCGCAGATTTTCCAGAGTCTGACGCCATTCCTCCAACCTAATGGACCCCACGTCCGTGAGGTACTTGAACAACATGAGCAGGGCTCTCCAGGTTGTTCTTTTGCAAGGATGCGGCGAGTTAACTAAGGTACTGATTAATTCAGAAGATGTCAATACTCAGTTCAACTTCATGTTGATTCTACTCTATTACCACTACAATGTCCCTTGTGTTACCGCCTTCTTCGCTACTATACCTACCCCAAATCGTATTCGCATTCATAAGGCATTGAATTTCAGCTCCAGCCACCAATTACCAAACTCTTTGGGCTTCAATACCCGAACCTGACGTCACCGCTCCAGGGACTTACCAAGGAAGACTTCCCAAACCCAGTCGTGAAACCCCATATTTCAAGAACGCCCAGTAAGTAAATAGACTTGTTCAACTTGAGCGTTTTGGGACCATGCTCTGTTGTACAGGGGCCCGGGCCTCCTTGTGTTAATGTACAGATAACTTCATAAAGTCTAAGATTAGGCAATGCTTCTCTGGGTCAGAAGAGACGCACTTATAAGCATAAACCGAGGTTACCATGAAGATGAAAGGATCCTAGGGCTGAGCCAATAATCATTTTTATCCCTTAGAAGGAACGAACAAGTCACCAATTGTTAAACCAAGACCATTCTGCGTCTAAAGTGCCTACCTTAAAAGTTCCTTGTCACTGGTATAAGGGTTCACTTATACTGGCCAATCCGATTGGCGGCTTCTAGTGGCCTGAGGCCTGGACTGTATCTACCATGAGACAGTGATAGGCAATACACCAAAGAGCCAGCCCGTTGATCAGATATCCTAAGCTGTAGATCGCTCAGATCGCTCAATAGACATCTACTTCGATGGCACTCACCATGTGTAAACCGATCTTGCCAGTTTCTACTTCCTCAACCCCATGTGAAGCCTGGGCCAACGGCTACAACGATAGTCGCTTCAACCGCTGGAAAACCCTCTCTCAAATTGCTGTTTCTAGACACATGCCTACCCGGCGACACTCAAACCCCTCAATTTTATATCTTTCTCCAACCACACTTGTCAAATATGGTCGCACAGTCCACCTTTCTGAAGCCTCAGCTTTACTCTTCTTAGCTTCCTTTGCGCCTGACGTTCCTACTCCGAGATTGCATTGCGCTTTTCGAGATGATGAAAAAGGGGTGACTTATATTGTAATGGAAAGGATTGACGGGCAACCTTTGAGTGATAGCTGGCACGAGGCATCAAGAGACGAGAAGGATAGATTATTGACACAGCTAAGGAATATTCTTGAGGAGCTGCGTGCACTCAAGAAGCCCGCTGGAAAGGGGATCCCAGATGGTGCTGTATGTGCCGCTGATGGAGGCAAGTTGCACGACCATCGGATATGGAATGCTGCTGGGGAAAAAGGGTTGGGCCCCTTCTTGAACGAGGCAGCATTCAACCTTTTCCTTCGGAACGGAGTCTCGAATACAAACTCCATCACAGACCAAGGGAGCCAAGCAGAGATCCAAAAATTGATCGAGATGCATTCAGCATCAGAGCAAAGGAAGACGGGGACCGTGTTTACGCATGGGGATTTTAGTCTGAGTAACATTTTGGTCAAGGAGGGAAAAGTAGTAGGAATTGTGGATTGGGAGATGTCTGGCTGGTATCCATGGTATTGGGAGTACACAACAGCGATCAATACCCATTACATCAAAGGGTGGAGGGAGGAGATTGGGAAGTTTCTGGATGAGTGGCCTCAAGAAAAAGAGATGGATGATATATGGAGAAAGCATTATTGTGATGGGGCTTGAGGGTGTGTCAGCCAACCTATTCGCCTGGAGAACTAACAGACATTCAAGATAGCCTGGAGATACTGGATTCGATCTCACGCCAGCAGAGCATCTACGAAGAAACCGAAGGCAACGCTGCCGAGCAACTTGTAAAAAAGCTCCGCGGACTCCTGTTGCTCTGTTGACCGCTGATGCTACTCAATGAGGTTTTCAAAACCTGCAAGGAGTGTCTCCTGAGCTACAGGAGGATAATCTGTAACTGATTGCCATAGGACAATGTACTCCACTTGGAACATCTCATATTCGCACATCGAAAGCGAGGATGGCAACGCGCCTAGGCTGCTTAAGCTATGGGCCTATTTTGACAACGAAGGTATCTCGCATGAACTGCTGCGTCCTGGTTGGGACTACTAGTTACATGAGCCGACCGGCTGCCTTCGAACAAGACTAGGAATGGGAGAGTGCGTGTTGAGTGAACAACGCAGCGCATTGGTATCTATGGCTATAGTGTACTCAGCCAGATTCGCTCTCATCCTTTGCTTTGCATCCTTAACTATCTAACATGCAAGTGTCGGTGAGACGTTCTCTGGGGTCATTTGTTCGAGGTAAGCTGGATCTTCTGCCTCCTCCTTACCCCTTACACAGAGAGTGTCACAGATTCCCCCAGGCAATGCCACTCCTTCGACCGCAACACTGCTCTTGAGAGCTACTTCTAGGTAGGTATGAGATCCTACATGGGTTTGGAGCCGATCGGGGCTGTATCAAACAAGTCCGTAGACTTCTTGTGTCGTGTTGATTTATGACACGACACGCACTTCAAGAAAGCCAGGACCTGCATTCGAGTGGTACAATGTTGCCTGGGTTGACGCGTGTTTATTTGACCGCATGCATTCAAGGCGTTGTGAGATACTGTTCATCTACTTCAGAAACGACATCTGAGATGACTCTCTGCACCGGCATTAGGCCCCAGGTCTGGAGGCATTTTTGTGCTGTTGATGGCAGATGAGGACTGGCATGGCTCCATATGGGTAGAAAGAGGTCATGGGAAATGTATGAGAAGCAGAAGATAGCGGTATAAAGCAGGCTAGAAGCACCTTCTAATGAGGAAGTGGTCAAGATTGACATACTGGATAGAGAAGGACCGAGGGTAGCCGCACAGGAAGTGGCCAGCGTGTGACTGAAGGGTGCCCTAAACTACCTACTCATGCCTCGTATATATACATGAGCTTAACTCTGAGGCTGAAGTTGTTTTGGGGAACGCTTCTCCAAATGATGACAGAGTCACAGAAGAGGTCCTCCCACAAGCATGAACTGAGGTTGCCATGAAGATCGAAGGATTCCAATGTCGAGCCAATAAACACACCCTGTCAACGACACTCATCTCTCCAGCATGTGTTCAGTGACTAAACATCCCCAAAACCACGTGGGAGTCAACCGTCTATGTCATCTGATGTCTCATGAGCACGGGACGACCACGTTTCACATCACAAGCATCAGAGTCACAATCATAAATGATATGTGAAAAAAACAGTCCGCTTTAGCCCGTCATGAGGGCTCCAGTTTTGATTTGTTTAGTAGCCTATTATGTGAACGCCGAGAACGCCAAACCCAGAACCCGCGTGCGTCGACTCTTCTGCCTCAACTAATAGCTTACAACCGTAATGCTCGCCTGAATATGGTACGCTCCAAGAAGCTCCGAAGAAAACCCAACCATGAATTTTGACCTTAGTTAGCCCGCTTCTTGCTCTTCTGGGCCATCTTGCGGAAAGCTTCCATACCACCTGCACCAAGGGGACGATGGCTGGAGTTTTGCGAGCCCATAAAGGTGCTCTGGGGAGCAACAGTGTAGCTCGAAGGCAAGTTGACCATACGCGCCGAGTTGTTACCTCGTGATGGGGCCAGTAGACGTTCGCGCTCAGCATCCTTGGCGTTGACGGCAGGACGCTGGGAAAGGCTGAATTGAGAGCTTGTCTTCTGGCGTTGTGCCATCTTGGCAGATCTAGCATCAAGTTAGCACGTGCAAGGGACAAGCCGCAAGAGAATACATACTCATAATCGTAGTCACGGGTCTCGATCTGGCGCTTCTTGTAATCGTCGGTTCGTTTCAGGATAGGTCGACTCCATTCTCCCAGGAGTCGTGTAGCAATTCTCTTGATACTGGGTTCGGGCTTCTTGCTACGAGTATAGAACACCACCACTCTTCCGATACCGCTGCTGAGGAGTGCCTCTTTCTCGATGTTCATCTTGGCGAGAGCGTTGAAGATGTCGCGTTGAATGTTGTACGCTGGAAGAGAGCCGTCGTTCAGAGGCTCCAAGAAGAACTTTACGTGCTGCAAAAAGTTCGTATCGGGGTCCAGAACGGCATGTTGGACGTTGTTTCGGTTCAAGATAGCGGTGACCTCGGGGAGAAGCTTCAGCTTGTGCAGAGCTGGTTGGCCGGCCTCGCGAGCCTGGTTATCAGCCTGACAAGCCTGCTCCATCTGTACCTTGAGATCCGCTAGAAGGTCATCAATCTCGTCCTCAAGATCCTGGGTAAAAAGACATTAGTGAAAGAACTTGAGCATATGCACTTTGAAACCCACAATCTCATCCTTCTTCCTGCGCTTGAGACCGCTTGGCTTCTTGATTGCCGCATCTATCATTCGGTCAAGCTCTCGCTGCTTTCGCTCTGCCGGTGTCAAGTTCTCTTCCTTCTCTGGCTCTGGACTAGCAGGCTTAGAACGTTGACGTCGCTCTCCATCACCGGCAGCGCGTCTTGAACGTCGTGACTTTTTGCCTCCATCCTCTGCATCATCCATATCAACATCTTCATCTCGATCTCGGCGCTTCTTATCTCGGCGACCTTCACGTGGTTTCTTTGGGGCCTCTCCGTCTGCGCGCTTTCGCTTTGTAGCTTTCAATGTGCGAGCAACATCTTCGTCAATGTCGACGGGACGGTCTTCGATGTTGGCCGTTTCTGGGTCGTAATCCTCGAACTGATCCTCGTCTACCTCGGACAGCGCATCGGAGTCGCGATCAGAATCAGCGGCGGTGACGGCATCTTCGTATTCTTGCTCTTGGCCATCGTTGACAGGCTCATTGGCATGCTCGCCAATGGGGGAATCCCTTTCCGACATGGCGTCGCGTCGTCGATCGTACGAGATCGCTCTGGGAATTCTTTATCGCCTGTTGAAACTTGATATTCACAGCGCTTGAGAGACTTTGAGAGGTTGGTGCTAGAAATTTGTTGGTGAAGAATCGTCGAAAGCTGTGAATATGGAAAGACTGGCAATTCGCAAACCTTCAACTTTCTTTGTATGGCTAGAGCCGCCACAGGTGCGAGGCGCGACCCCTGTTGGCTGACATAATCGTGAAGCTCCACCTAGAAACCTCAGGCAGATGGCCCGCACCCTTTGTTTACTTTGGTCTTTTTGGTTGCCACGGATGAATTGAAGAATACTCGATGGATTGAATCTGGCAGCTACTTTCAGTCACTACAGCTGCCCCGACATCAACCCCAGCCTCTGTCCACCTGGCGAACCTTACATCGTAATTATTCGAGCTATTCAGTAGCTATCATCGATTATGGATCGTCGAACTTACGAAGGTCCTATGGACTGGGAGTACCAGAACAGCGGCCCTTTTGATCCCACGAGTCCTTTTACGCATGCAGCAAAAAGTAACTCACAGAATGGCAAGTTTAACTTCACCGGCGTCACAGTTGCAGCTGTAGCTTCTACAATCCGCGATGTCTGGCAGCTCTTTGCTAACAGTTTGTAGTCTTTGGCTCCCCTTCGAAATCGAGCTTAAGACCAAATCCTTTCGCAAATCTAGGGACACCCTCAAAAACGAAACCGCCGCAATCCTCCTTTACTCCTCAATTGTCCTCGAGAACTACCGCGCCAGCATTCCGCAACCCTGCATTTACAACACCCCGGCGACCTTTTGATGACGTTGCGCTGTCTGAAGCCTCAGGCGCAGAAGACAGCCCTGCCTTGACAGAGGTTTCTGACTTCCCGAATGACACTCCTGAAGCGGACCGTATGAGCGATATCAACATGAGTGGCATGACGAGTCCCTCCAAGATCGACAAGTCCTTTCGTTACAGCAAGACTCCTTTCTCAAGCAAAAAGCATACACCAGGTCGAGGCGAAATACGAGCGACTCGAGACCTCTCTGTATCAGAATTCATTCGCAAGCGAAAGAGACATAATCTCGATAGAGATGTCAGCAGCATAACTCGACACCGATGGACAGAGTCAGATTCCGATTCGGAAGATAGCATCGCACCGAGACGAACTCGTGGCAAGAAGAAGGCAACAAAGGAAGCGCCGAGGGGTTTCTTGGGATCTCTGTTGCATATGTTGGACGAACACCCTAACGCCCCCGACAATCTTTACAGATGGGTCAAGTTGATTGTGAACTTCTTCCTGGTATCAGTCTTCGTCTACATTGGCTGGTCCATTGTGACCACCGTGAAAACGGATATCGAAAATGCAAACGAGATGGCACGAATCGAGATCATGGGGAAAATTACGGAATGCCAAACTCAGTACAGTATCAACGGATGTGCTAAGAACGACCGTCCGGCGCTCAGAGTGGCATGCGAGGAGTGGTCTGAATGCATGACACAGAACCCTGAGGCTATCATGAGGGTCAAGGTGACTGCGAAGCAAATCGCAGAGATCATCAACGAGTTTTCCGAAGCAATGAACCTCAAGGCTTGGGTGGGTACCCCATGCCACATAATAATAATCGCCAAGCTAACCACTTCACAGGGATTTTTCTTCGCTGTTCTCATCTTTTGCGCTTTCGCCAACAACTTTTTCTTGGGTGGATATGTCAGCAAGCCAGCACCTCCCGTTCAGTCACAACCCGCAGCTCCACCTCACGATCCATCCATGGCCCCTGAGAACGGTCCAGGATTCATGTGGGTTCCTGTACAAACACCAAGGATGCAGCGTCACATGTTGCTCGACGATGGTACCGATACGGACAGTACGCCGCCGCCAAAAATGAAGACGATTCTTGCGCCTCCATACACTCCTTCACTACGTCGGAGCCCAAGCAAGACGGATCGGGGCCGTAGCCCTGTTAAAAACCGAAGTCCTAGTAAAGGACGCCGGGAACCGTTTGCATAGGCTCTGACGGAGAGTTAGGCATATATTATTTTCCTTTGTCGTTGAATAACCTGGCTGTATAATAGTGGTGCATTGGAACTGGGCGCATGTATACGGGGCGCGGTTCGCTGGTGTTTGGAAAATCAGGTCATAGCATGGACGGCGGTATCATGGACGGATGGATGGATATTGGGGTATGTAACATTGTCAATCACTATATACAGCAGTGAACTCTGCATCTTTTGTTATTGAAGAGTTCTCTCAGCCCCTCTTATCGCTGTTGCAATGGCATTATCAGCCACAGAGGCCGCAATTATAGGCCATGTTACAGTGCAGCTCAGCTCAAGATCATGATCCAAGCTGAATTGATTGAACGTTGAGGCTGTCAGAGGCTGATGACGTACTGTGGGGTAAGGTTGAGAGGGGCACTTCGACGGATGGCCCTGGCATGAAAGTTAAATCTCAGGTGAAGATGGAAGACAACTGGAATGAATACCCAATATTCTGAGAAACCGCTCCTTTTTACCCCCTGGACCACCATTTATCACGGTCGCACACTAGATATTGTGTGGTATTTTTCTTGGCATTGGCTCCATTACCATCAGCAGTACTTCAATGCAGCCATGTCAATCATACTATGTTGCCAAGATATAAATTACCCCAGCCTACTCCATATGATCAACCATGATGTTCTGATCGCCGCAAGCCTAACATATCTCTGACATCATATCCACAAGGGCTCTAGACCTATTCTCTCCTTGGAGATCTCATTGAATGGAGCATAGTGCTTGGTAATGGCCGTCCGTTTTATATCCGTTTGGCCTTTTCCGATGCGAAGTTACGGTGATGAGATGGAGGGCTGAAAGGATGCGCCAAATGCAAGGAAGCATGCACAATCTGGCAGACTCCGCAACATTCCAATTGGACGATGGACGTACTTGTGGTGGATGTGACCTTGGATCAGGCTTGGAGATAAGTTTGATGGCGTACAACTTTGCAGTTTTCCTTGCCCAGAAGCTGAGGGGAAGTGTGGTGCGGACAAAAACAGCTTTGTCTCAGACATCTCGAGGTTCAAAAAAGACATGATTTGCACCTGGAAAATGGCGATGAGAGGGCGAGCAATAAGAAAGGCTCATCGGCAGTCTACAACTGCAGAATGACGAGTCGTTGAGCACATTGTCCACTCAGACCACGGCCCTAAGTAAATTTCAAGCTTGGTATGGCCTGGTCGATCTGGCCATGGCACTCATTCTCATGGTTATCAGAGACCTTTGGACAGAAGAATCCTAGCTTGAGCGGTCGACAATCTTGGAATGGATTACAAAGACAAGAACGTTTGTGCCGGTTCAAAAATAGAGTTCCTTCCTTTCTTCAGCAGAGAAGTGGAACAACCCTCTCCAGATAACATTGGTAACCAACCTGAAGAGGTTGAGCGTACTTTCCAAGTTCTACCTCAGGCAGAACCAGAAAAGGCTCTTTCATTCGGCCACCTAATCATTTTCTCAACTTTGATCTCCATACCTCATCAACGCTCTTTGTATTTCCCTACAGAGCTTCCATATCCGCGGTTCGATCATCGCCTGTTTCACGACATGAAGCGTGAGATAGAGCCAGGACCCCAGCTACTGTAATCGACTACATACCTTACGGAGTAGCTGCAAGACATACAATCTGCAACAGAGTTCGCCGAGGAAACGCAGGATCCATTCAGCACGGTAACTGGACATCAAGCAAATTTAAGCTACAGCCGAGAAACTTCGCCGTGGTTCTAGGCCTCTATTTGAACCGGCCCTAACCTGGCAATCGAGCGCGACGATAATCGTGATCGCAATCGCAAGAGATTCCCATACTGGACATAGCCAATCTTCATCGTCCCATTTCTCACACATACCTACAATCAATCAGTTCTCATTTTATTCCCAATCTGTACAACTTCCGTTATATGCGCAAAATTTCCGCTTTCGGTCTCAATTGGACTTCAGTATCTTCAATTGTTCAACTCAAATAGTTGCCAACCCGTCTTGTGCATAGACCACAGCGCCCAACTTTTGGTCTCTATCGCCGGCGCAATCGACGATCGAGTGGACACCAAGTCTACCAGTACTGCTTAGCAACCTCTTTAATCCCTCCTGAGAACGCAAATTGCGACAGGAAAAGAGAAACAACATTGCGCGCTTCAAAGCGCCATTGATCTGCGACTCCTGCAAGCCTTATTTTCTCTCCCTTGACTCGCGGAGTCGGCCTCGAGCTCCTTCAACCCCCCCCCCC